TGCTCCTAGTTCTACACTAAGGCTCCTTTGCTAGGGGCTGCACCTGGCGTGCTCTGCTAACGGCCACTGGAGACACAGTGTGTGGGGGGGACCTGTGGGGGGCTCGGGGGTCGGGCAGGTCCCAGGCACCTCTCTTGGCGAGTGGCCCCACCAGGCCTGGTACCCTGGACCTCTGCGCCCTGCCTACTCCTCTCCCCTTCCATGAGTCCCTGTGGAGCCCTGTGGAGGGGACACCCGTGCCACGTCCTCTCCAGACTGGCCGCCCGCTGCGCCCCCCCCCCCCCCCCCGCCAGCCTGGCTCAGCCTCCTGCTTTGGCTACTTCACTGCAACAGACTCCACTGGCCTCTCTGCCCCTGGCCCCGCTGTCCCCCGGCCAAGTCATCACCCTCAGCCACCAAAGCGGCCCTCCTAACACATAGGTCCAACCCTGGTGTCCCTTGCTGATGGCCCTGCAGGGGTCTCTCATTGGGCCCTCCAAGGGCCTCTTGCTGCTTCCTGCTCCTGTAGGGACAGGCTACAGCCCCAGGGACCAGGGCAGGGCAGGGACTCACTAGGGGTGACAGGGGCCTTGACAGCCGCTCTTGGGGAGTGACCTGGCTTCTGTCCCTTTGGCCCGTAACCTGGAAAGCTCAGATGTCCCTCCCGAGCCTGCTCGGGGTCTCCTGGAACGGCCTCCCTCTCTGCCCTGCCCAGGGCCTTAGACCCCTCTTTTGGGGCTACTCCAGGAGGCAGGGACCTTGTCTCCATCACGGTGTGACCTGGGGGTCTTGGGGCGTGTAGAAGGTGCTCAGTAAACAGTGAGTGAAAAGTGGGGACAGGACAAGGCACACACGGGAGGAAGGCAGGGTGAGGTTAGGGGGCTTCAGGAAGCCGAGGGCTAGAGCAGGAGGAGGGTGCCCCCACCCTCAGATGTCACTCACAGGTGAGCTCCGCCCACTTGGCCCCAGGGTTGTTGATGCCTCTGAGAGTGAAGCCTCTCAGCCCCTCGTAGAGCAGCTCCCGGTACCGGATGCGGAAGCCCAGGAGGATGCCATTGACCTTGTCCTCAGCTGGGGGCTGCAGGGAAGGGGGTAAGACATGAGTGGGGCCCGGGTCGCTGCTCACCCCACGCCGTCCTCTCCCCCATCATGCCTCCTGCAGCCCAGAGGGAGGGTTGTGCCTCAACATGAATAAATCAAATTAACATGGTGCATCTTTAATTCGCAAAGCATTTCCAACGAGGCGGCTGAGTCACCCAGCATTCCCTGTAAGGCAGGGAAAGGCAAGAACCACCCTGCATTTCCCTCCAACAGGGAAGGAAACCGAGGCTCAGAGACGTTAAGGCACTTGCTCATGATCACACAGCCAAGGAAGTACACCTCTGGACGTCCAAGCTGTTCCTTGGCCAGGAAGCCCTTCCACGGCTCTCCCCAGGCCTGCTGAGCCCTCCTGACTACCTGGCCAGCACTTCCTGCCAGCGGAGCCCTCTCCCTGCTCCTCAGCACAGGGGAGGGTGAGTGTGCCCATGTGTGCTGCCCCACCCCCCCACCATCATTTTCTCCTTTGCTCTCTGCTCCCGTCCAAGCTGAGTTGGAGAAGAAGCTTCCAGAGAAGGTGGGAGCTACTTTTTTATGACACCTCTTTTACAAAACCTGCTGAAATGGTTCAGCCTTTTATCAGCCCCTTAATTGCTTTCCTGGCTGCTGCCTGCACCTCCCTACCCCCTTCGCCACATTGGCCCCAATCTGCTCTGGCCCCTCCTGTCCCTTGCTCCTGGGTGTACCAGGGCATTCCCACTGAAGGGGGTGTCCCCTCTGCGGGCCCGTGCCTCAGCCACACACGGGCACAACCTGGTGCCCGTCCCTCTGATCCTGAGAGGCGGGGACACAGCTTGCCACCTTGGGTTCTGCGGGTGACCTGCTGAGCCAGAGGCTGGCCTGCAGAGGGCGCAGGAGGGTCCTGACGGGCAGGATACCAGGGCCGACTGGTCTGCGAGGTTTGCCCAGAATCCTCCCCAGGCCTGGCAGGACAGCGGTGCCCACCAAAGAGCAGGCAGCTGGAGGAGAACGGAGGAGGGGCGCTTCCTCCACGGGGGCAGTGGTCTCCTGCTCACAGTCACAGCACAGGCTGCTGTTAGGGACCCCTGCACTGGCTGCTGGGTCTGGGGACCTGAGAGATCCTGGGAGTCCCAAGGACTTTTCTGCCCAAGGATTTAGAAGACATGGGTTTATAAACCCGACCCTGCCACTTACAAGCTGTGTGACCTGGGGCCCTGTGTGTCCCCTCCTGCATCCCCGCCAGCAGTACGGGGTGCAGGCACCTGCTGGTGTCTCTGGAGAGTGGAGCAGGTGTGTGGGGTGTGCAGAGTGTCCTGTTATGGGCACACACCTGCTTGGGTCCCTGTGTCTTGCCTTTCCGTGTGCTCTAGGGCAGCCCTGGGGGGTCTTGGCTTTCTGTTCCCAGTGCAAAGCTTGTCTGAGTCCCTCTGGGAGCCCCCCCCCCGCTGCTGCCCATACCTGCCACCGGATCAGCACGGAGGTGGTGGTGTGGGGTGTCACCGAGAGGATGGTGGGTGCTTCATCAGGGGCTGTGGAGAGACGGACAGATGGCTCTGAGGGCTGGAGCCTCAGCCCTAGGGAGCCGTGGGGCCCAGACTCCACCGACTGCGGACTGAGTCACTGCTGTGTGCCCACCAACCCACCTCCGCAGAACAAAGGGCCAGTGCAGAGGGAGAGAGGGACCCAGTCCAGACCAACAGTCCCGAACCTTCCACGCTGCCCGAGAGCCACAGGCCTCCTGGGCTGCCCCTGCCCCCTCCTCAGAAGCTTGTGAGACATCTGAAGGATGCATTTGAATGTCCGGCTGGGTCTGGGACCTGAGCCCCTGGCTAAGGCTCCTCCGGCCCTCACCACCTGGGGGTTCTGCCCTGGAGGTGGAAGGGCCCAGCAGCCCGTGGCCTGTTCCCCCCCAGAAGGGCCCCCCAAGTGCCAGGAAGCAGCCGAGGGCCAACAGCAAGAGACCCAAGTTGGGGAGGAGGCACTGACCGGCCTGCAGGGTGGTCAGTGATTCCGACTCCTCGCTGAATTCGCTGTCCCCAATGTCATTGGTGGCCTTCACTCGGAACTTGTAGGATGTGAAGGGCTTGAGCCTGTCGGGGGTGGGGGGTTGGGGTTCAGTGGCGGAGGACCCCCGAAGACCCTGTCCAGCCACAGTCTCACTGATCTATCTCTGCTCAGGGAAGCGGGGTACACCCCCCAGACAGATGGGGACACTGAGGCTCAGAAAGGACCTCTGTTACAGAGGGGTCAAGTTGGACCAAGAGCCCCGGCCATGCCTCATGGGGGCCCTTTAGCTGCAATGATAAGCCACGGGTCCCCAGGCCCAGCTCGGAGGCCCAGGCAGTCACAAGATCACCCAGTATCCCTCCCTCCCGGTTTTAAAGGTCTCAGGGCCCCTCCAGACAGCCCTTCCTGTCCCGAGCCAAGAGCTGAGGAGAGCGAGGCTCTCCAGGGAGAACAGAGTGGCCTCTGGGGGTCCATCTCCTCCCCCAGCAAGTGTCTGTGTTCCTGATGGAGGGCGGGTGGGAGGAGAGGCAGCCACCGGGAATTCCACGGAGCCAGAGTTGGGAGGGAAGCTGGCCCTGGCAGAGTCGCCCCGAGGGCTGCAGGCTCCTCCTTCTGAGGGGGGGGGACGCCAGGCTCCAGAAGTACCCAGGAGGTGGCCCCGACGGGGAGGGTGGGGGGAAGGAGTGGGGGCAGTGGCCCTGCTGGGGGGACCCTCCTCACCTGTCCACGGTGAAGCTGGAGGCGTTGTGGCTCACGGAGGCCGAGTGCAGCGCCCACCTGCCACCGGGCAGCTCGCGGGTCTGGATGGTGTAGTAGCGCACAGGGGACAGCCCGTCGCTGCCCGGCTCCCAGGACAGCAGCACGCTGCGTGCCTTCACGTCCTCCTGCTGCACGGTGGGCTTGCTGGGGGGCTGCGGGCGGTCTGGGAGACGGCAGAGGGGCAGGGCAGATGAGCAGTGCCACCCCCGTTTCCAAGCACCCAGACCCTGCAGGGTCCCCTCTCTGCAGCCAGCACCTCTGCCTCTGGTCAGGCACCTGCCAGGCTGCCCGCGTCCCAGGAGTATGTCTCTGGGCCAGACTCGTGTCTTTCCTTCCTTTACCTAAAACCCAGGGGCCCTTGACCACCAAGCCACACCCCAGTCCCCCCTTTTTATTTAGAGACAGGGTCTCAATAAATTGCTTAGGGCCTCCCTAAATTGCCCAGGCTGGCCTTGAACTGTCGATCCTCCTGCCTCAGCCTCCGAGTGCTGGGATGGCAGGTGTGCCACACCCACCTGGCTGGAGCTCACTTGCCATTCCAGGCCAGGACCTGGCTGCCCCCCACCCAGGCCTCCCCGGCCCCCATGGGCGGTCGGTCACCTCTCTTCTCGGTGGTCACCACCAAGGCCTCGGCGGCCTCTCCCCAGCCTTTGCGGGTCTGGGCGGTGATGCGAAACAGGTAGACGGACTCTGGCTTGAGGCCGGTGGCTGTGTACTGGCGGGCGCTGGGGGCCAGCACGTCCACGGTGGCGGTGTTGGCGGTGGTGGCGTTGAGCCTGTGCGTGATCTGGTAGGCTGTGGGCAAGGGGGAGAGGGTGGCCCTGGAGGCAGGTCCTTCCTTCCTCAGCCTCAGCAGTGTCTGCACTTGGGCGCTGGGCGGGGCCCTGTCTGCTTGGAGCCCTGGGGTCACTTACAAACCTCAGTGGCCCTTAGGGAGTGTGGACTGGGGGTGTGAACAGTGCCTGGGCTCCTACGTCAGCCCTGAGAGGAGGCCGAGTCTGCTGGGAAGCGGCTGAGCTGGAATTCCAGCCTGGGTCTCTGGGCTAAGGGCTTGCGGCCCTGCCCACTGTCTTGTGAGGCGTGGGGTTCCCCAGAGCATGGCCGGCACAGGCCCGGCATGTCCAGGCGCCGTCTGTGCGTGTGCACGTGTGAGTCTCTGTTTCACTTTTAATTTCTTAGAAACTGGGTCTCGCTATGTTGCCAGCCAGCCTGGAGCCCCTGGGCTCAGGACATCCTCCTGTTCAGCCTCCTGAGTGGCTGGGACCCCAGGAGCCCGTGGGCCACCATGCCTGGCAAGCCACCACCGTAAAGGTGAGAGTGCAGAGGCCGCAGGGGAGTGGACTTGCTCAGCCCTGCCTTCGGCTCTGGGAGTGTGTGTCCAGGAAACCTGGACCTTTGGTCTGTGGCCTCTCTCCCTGGTGCAGGCCCAGCTGTGAGCATGGCTGGGCTGGACTGGCCAGCGCGTCCCCCAGGGAACAACCGTGGAGGTTTACGAGGTGCTCAGAGGCTGAGGACTGGAGTTTGGAGGCATGGCCCCAGCCAGTGTCCTTGGGGTCTGAACTTGGTCTTGTCCTGCAGCAGATCATGCAACAGGCAGGAACTTGCAGCCGGGGAAGTGAGACCGGGTCCCACTCTCAAGGGCCGCGGACACTTGTTGCCCCAGCTCCCCTCTCGCCGTCACTGAACGTGCCTCCCCCTCCTTCCTGCAGACGGGGCTCTGGAGGGGCCAGGCTTACCCAGGATGATGCCGTTGGGGGCGGCGGGGGGCTGCCAGATCAGCCGCACTGACGTGGTCCTCACCTCCGGGAACAGGATGCCCATGGGTGGTCCTGGGACTGGAGGGGACACAGGGGAAGAGGCTGACAGGCTCTGCTCAGCCTCAAGCACGTCCAGCTGCAGCAGAGTAGACGGGCGGGTGGAGGGGGACAGGGCCACTCCGTGCAGCTCAGTGAGTGCTATGGACAGCTGCTCGGGCCGGTACCAGGTCAGGGACCAGTGACACAAAATGAGCTCGGGGAGGCTTCTGTCCTCAAGATAGGTGTGAGCTAGAAGGTGGAGTGAGGGTTCTGCCCTCCCAGCAGGTGATCTTGGCGGCATCCGGGGCTCCGGCTTGGTCTGTGCACACCCTTAGAACCTGGCAGACGGGCCCTGGCCTGGGGCTGGGCTTCATTTTTAGATCTTATTGACTTGGTTTTGCAGTGCTAGGGGTGGAACCCAGGGCCTTGCTTGTACTAGGCAAGCGCCTGCCGCCGAGCTGCGTGCCAGCTGGTCTGGGTTAGAAGCCCCTGCTCTGACTTTGGTCCACTATGGGGGCGGCTGTGCAGCGATGGTAAGTAAGCACCACCCTGAGCCTGCACATCTGTCTCTCTAGATCTCGCTCTGGAATTCCTGCTCAGACCACCCCAAGCGTGCTTCCAAGGTCCTCAGAGCCACCTCCTGGGGCAGACTGTACCCTTGAACCCAGGGATGGTCAAGGGCAGCTCTTCTGGCGGTATGGGTAGAGACTGAGGGGTGTGGTGGGAAGAGGGTGGGTGGGGGTGTGGGGGGGTGATGCCCCCTCCCAGCACAGGACGCCAACAGGTCCAAGGTTTCCAAGCCTGAAGGGGCCCTCCAGGTCACTGTACCCGTGGACTTGTCCAGGCAGGAGGACAGGGTAGAGTTAACTTAGCTGTCCATTAGCTTGATTTATGACTTCAGAGGACCCACACCTGGTGCTGGCTTCCTCCCACACTCCTGCTGCATCTGGGCATTTTGTGGTGGGCAGGGCGTGAGGATGGGTGAGGGAGAGGGAGGGAGCAGGACCCGTGGGTCCACCTGGCACCAGGGCTTTGCTGGAGGAGGGCGAATGCTAGTACTTGGCTCCTGGAACTTTGTTGGAAAGAGAACCAGGAGGCTCCTGCCCTGGAAAAACCAAGACTTTCCCTTTCACAGACGTCACTCAAGCAAACCTGCCCAGGGCAAGACAGAGATCAAACAGGTGCGAAGTCCCCGATCCTACACTTGCCCTGGAGAGAGACCAACAGACAGGACCAGCTCTCTGCCCATCCTCACGACGTCCTTTCTTCCTTAGGGACACGCAGGCTGTGATCAGTGTCCCCTTGCAGAGACTTGGTAGCCCCTAGTGACCGGTTCCCCACAGGAGGAGCCTGAGGCCACGGCTCCCGTGGGCAGAGCGGGATCCCGGGGTGAGGCCGGGCGGGCAGAGGAAGGTGGCCCCCGCAGGTGTTCCCTGGGCTCGCTGGGACTTGGACTCACCATCGTCCAGCGTCCGCTCCAGGATGGGGGGGTGGCTGGGGCTGCCGTCCCCGATGCGCGTGAAGGCCAGCACCTGCACCTCGTACAGCACGTACTTGCCCAGGCCCGTGAGCTGGGCGCTGCGGGACGCGTTGCCCTCCACCAGCCAGGACCGGGGCTGGGAGTCCGAGTCCTTCTCCTTGTACATCACCTGCCAGGGCCCGGCACAGGGAGGACCTCAGGAGGGGCTCGTGCCCAGGAGCAGGCCGTGTGGGGACGGGGCAGGCCGACTGGGGCACCTAGCGTGACGCAGGGGGCCCAGGGTGACGGCCAAGCTGTGCACCCAGAGGGCCGGGACACGGGGCTTGCGCGGCTGTAAAGCTGGACGGCCCCTGAGGAGCCTCGGGTGGGCACAGGGGCTGGGAGGGAGTGTGGCCTCCTCAGGCTCACGGGAGGAGGGGCACACGGAACAAGGAGTCTGCCAGGTCCCAGGTCAGGCTGGAGCAGCTGTCAGAAAACCCCAGAGGCCCTGGAAGGCTGCGGTTTGAGGTTGCTTTGTTCCCCGAGGGCCCATGCATGGGTGCTGGGTCCCTGCCTGATGGGACCTTTGAGGGGTGCACCCTAGTGGGACCCTGACCTCAGGCAGGACTGATGTAGTTCTCATGTGACCCCTTGGGAGCTCCACAGGAGACTGTCACAGAGGCCCGAGCCTCGCCTTGCTCAGCCCTTCCCAGTTTCCTGTACCTAGATGTGACCACGACATGACCACCTTTCCAGCAAACTCCTGCTGTGGCCCTCTGCCACAATGTGACATAGCTGAGAGGGCCCTCACCAGAGCAGAGCCTATGCAGACACCACGTCCTTGAGCCTCCCCAGCTGTGAGCTAAACAAACCTCTTTATAAGCGAACCTGTCCCAGGTGCTTTGTTACAGTAACGAAAACCTGACTAATACAAAGACAGAGCTGAGCAAGGCTGGGCCCCCTAGCGTGGCCTCTTGGAAGAAGGGGCACAGCCCTAAGGACCTGGCCCTGGCTGTTTCCCCACCCCTGAGGGCAGGAGACTCCTGCTGATGGGAAGCCAGGCAGACCCCATATCCACTCTAGAAGGCAGAGGCCTTGAGAGTGATGGATGACAGGACACCTTGGGTGGAGAGGCTGGGTGCCCAGTGCAGGGACCCCACCCCCTCCTCTGGTCCTGACACTCACCTTGTAGCCCAGCACCAGCCCATTGCGGTCTGCCTCGGGGACCTCGTTCCAGCGAACCAGCATGCTGCTGGAGGTGGTGGCCAGCGCGGACACGTTGGTGGGGCCAGAGGACGGGACTGAGGGAGGGAGGGAGCGGAGAGCGAGAACTGAGCCCGAGTCCCTCTATGGTAGAGGGAGGGGAGCAGGGTGGGGGCGGAGGAGCTGGCTCCAGGTGGCCGGCTCCCTCAGAGGACAACCCGGCGGTCACTCTGCTCTGAGGTCTTTGGTTTGGGCATGTCCAGATGCTGTTCTGGTTTCTCATTTGCCTCCCTCATTGTCCTCTGCTCTGACTGACCTCAGTGAGCTGTGCAGGGAGGAGGGGTGGGGACAGGGGACCGGGAGGCCCCGGAAGCTCCTGGTCATGTAAAGGACCAGGAGAAAGCCCCAGGTGGTGACCTGGGTGGACACGAGGGCTCCCTGAGGCTGGGGCTCCTGTTCTATGGGTGACCCCTGGGCAGGCCCCATAGGAGCTGCTGGTTCTGTTTCTGGAATGTTCTGAGGGTGACCCCTTCCCTGGACTCCATCTTGGGCTCTTTGCAGCACTGCTGGGCGTCAGGGCTAACGCTGAGGGCGGGGAGGGGCAGTTTGCCCGGACGTGTCCCTGCAGTGGGGACGGTCCTGGGGAAGGCGCAGGCCCCGGGGTCTCCCGGCACTGGGCAGAGGGAAGCTGCTCAGGCTGCTTGAGGACGGTCCCCGCCTGCTGGCCCTTGGACAGCCTGAGGGCAGAGGGACAGGGACGGGAGTACCTGACTCCCGGGTCCTGCCCACCACCGTCTGGCTCCAGGGCCCGCTCCCGATGGCGTTGAAGGCCTGGACCTGGACGCGGTACTCCGTCCACTCCTCCAGGTCCTCGATGGTGTACTCCCGCTCCACGCGGTCCGGCACCACGTGGCTCAGCGTCTTGCCGTGGCCGTCCGATCGGCTGTACTTGATCTTGTAGCCCACGGACTCGGGGTTCCCGTTGTATTCCATCTCTGGAAGAGGCTGCGGCCAGGTGGGGCAGAGCGCCATGAGGCCGGGACACCCGTGCAGGGAGAACTGCCCGGCACCCCGGGCCTGGCCTCTTCCTGGCCTGCAGGATGACCTGGTCCACTGACCCGGCTGCCAGTGTCCCCGAGAGGCGCTGCCCTGGCCTGGCTGGGGGTGTACATGGTGTCTCCAACTCCTCTCCTCTCCCCTCCAGGCTCCGAGGAGGAGCAGGGCCATCTCCACTGTGTACGTGGCTAACTTACGCCCCTGCCCAGGGACTTGGTCCTGTTTAGGAGACTGAGCACCTTTGGCTCTGGTTGTCTCACTTGCCTAACTCACCTGGCCTCAGCGCATGCTGCCCTTGGAGGAGCGGACACACAGAGAGGACATTCCCTGGATATTCCCTCTCATTTCCAGGAAGTCCTGCTATCCAGCACACTTCAGTCTCTCCTGATGCATGTTTAGCTTCCTGCTAGTTCAAGTCTCACCAAAGAGAAAAGGGAGATTCTGTTCCCAGGCATTAGCACCAGGCCAGAGGGGCCGTGGTCACTGGCTCAAGGTTGTTTGGTGAACCTGGCCAGTGCTGATGAGCAGAGGAGGTGGGTGTCTGTGGCCTGGAGCCGAAAGCTGATCTTCACTGCCTTGTATTGGACAGAGTGGAGCTGGGCCACCTGTGGTCCCCTCCTCTTGGTCAGCCTCCCCAGGGCCTCCCAAGGACGTGCGGTCCACAGCTCACCACCCTGGAAGCCACTTAGTCCAGCTCCTCCCCGGGCCTGTCTCAGTGGCTGACACACACCCCCACCCTCTGCAGACACTCAGTGAAGTGGACCAGAGACTATTAGAACTGAACCGAGGGGTCAGGGAGCCCGAGGTGGGGTGGAGCCCCACCTGCTGTGGAAAGTGAAGGGTGTGCACCGCCAAGTGGGTCTGAGAGGCGCCGGCCACAGGGCACAGCCATGGCTCCCCACCCTCCTGTGACCTTTCAATATTTGGAAACCTCCAAGTGAGACTCAGGAGGTGGAAGTAGGGGGCCTGGGGGGGTTTGGGAGGGAGGCCACTGGCTGACCCCATAGTCCTCTCTGGTGCTAGTACTGCTAATGCCTACCCAGGTGACAGCCATTGGCACCATCTGTCAGGCCGTGTCCCAGGGTGAGAGGTAGCCATGCCCTGTGCTCCCTGCCACCACCGTGCGGCAGGTCCGTGCAAGCTGTGTTTTGCACAGTGAGTTGAAGACCTTCGTGGGGATGAGGCGGGGTGGTCAATGGGCCCAGCAGAGGCAGGCACCCTCGTGAGCTCCTTCAGTGCAGGGCTCTGGGTTCCCTAAGGAGCCCAGGAGACGGGGTTGCCCCCCACCTTGGTCTAAGAATTCTCCTTTCTCCCCGGGGCCTCTGGGGGCTGGCTGCACAGAGGAGGCTGCGGAGAGACTGTGTCTAACATTCCCTGGACCTGGAGGCAGAGGGCTCGGTGGCCGGGGATGTGGATTGGAGGTAGACTCCCTGGGTGGGACCCGGCTCTGCTGTGAAGTAGGGGTGCGGGAGGGTGTGAGGGCGCTGGGCAGGTGGGCAACCTCGCTCTGCCCCCGTTTCCTCTTCCGCTAATTGGGGACCAAGCTCAGCCTGCTGTCACAGGCCTGCTGAGGTTCAAGGCCTGACTATGAAATGAAGCACCTGGCAGGAGAGGGAGCCCTGGCCGCTGCCTCCTGTAGGACCAGCACGGTGACAGCCTCATGCTCTCCCTGGCCCCCTCCGGCTCAGCAGCAAGTGCTCACTCTCTGACTGAGCGCAGATCCACTGCTCAATCCAGACCCACTGAGAGAGCTGTGTGGCCAAGGCAAGTTCATAACCTCTCTGAGCCTTGCTTTTTTTTTAAGCTATACATTGGGAGGATAACGTGTCCTTTGTATAGTTCCTGAATTGTTTAAATGTGCATTTGCCCGGTGCTCAGTAAAAAGCGTTCTGGCCTCTCCATCCCTTGGGAGGCGTTGGCTCATTCAGCCACGGTTGATTATCAGGCAGCTTATCTACAGAAGTAAAAAGTCTATTTTTTTAAAAAGTTAAAAAAAAAGAAGAAGAAGAAGCAAGGAGAAGGCAGATAGGTCCTCTCTGCAGGCCCCCTCTGAGGCCAAGACGGCTTCCCAGGGTGGGGGTCAAGGGGACACCCCCCACCCCAGTGCCCGCTCCCCGGGCGGGGGGCCTCACCATCCAGCGGAGCCACAGGCTGGTCTCGCTGGCTGTGCGCAGGGTCACGTTGGCCGGGGCCATGTCTGGGGGCGCCTGGAGGGTCTGGATCTTTCTGGAAGGCTGGCTGGGCGGGCTGGTGCCCACGATGTTCACCTGGCGCATGCGGAAGCTGGGGGGGCGAGGGCGTGAGCAGGACCGGCCAGCCGTCCCCCGCCCCCCAGGGCCCCGCGCGGCCGCGCCTCACCTGTAGTAGGTGAAGGGGTTGAGGTCGGGCACCTCCATGGAGCGGGCGTCGGGCTCGTTGCTGAGCTGGTGGACCAGCAGCCACTCCTCACCCTCCCCGACCACTCCCACCTGGAAGAGGGGTGACCCTTAGACGTGCCGAGTTGGGGTGCCCCGAGCCCCAGCGCCTGTGCGCACCAGCTCTGCCCAGGGGAGGTCCTGGTCCCAATGCCAGGGCTCCGCCGAGGGTGCCGCGTGGCGCCAGCATCTTTCCAGGACCCCAAATGGGACTGCAGAGGCCTCGGGAGCGCGGCCAGGGATGGCGGCTGAGGCCCAGCCCAGCAGAATCCCTGGAGGTGGAGCCCGGATCTGCGCCCCACGGCCCCAGCCCCGTAGCAGGCGTCACCTGAGCTTCCACCAGCCAGCGGGAGATGGAGGTCTTCCCGTCGTAGCCCGGCCGGAACTGCAGGGTCACGGAGCGGGGCCCGATGTTGGAAATGCCCAGGTTGGTGGGGGCTCCTGGGAGTTCTAGGAAAGGGGGACGGCAGGAAGGGCGCGTGGGGCGCTGCTCCCCGTGAAGAGACTCGGCCTGGAGCGGGCTGTGCGTCCTCTGTTCCTGAGAGGCCCCAGGGTCCCAGGGGAGGTGTGGCCCACACGGGGTGTCTGATGGGGCGCCATGTTGATAGCAGGGAACTGACAGGTTGGGGACTAAGGGGACCTCCCAGGGCCACCTATGCCAGAGGCCACCCTTGGCAGATCTGGGTGTGAGTGAGATGCTCGTGAGGGAGTCAGCGGCAGCACAAAACCAAGCCGGGCTCAGGAGAAACCAAACAGGACCCATCCTCCCCATCCTTCTCCACCCTTACAAAGCCTTTCATACTCAGTAGTGCTGAGGAGGTGAGAGGGACACGTGGGGACCGGAGGCAGCTCCTATTTGCCAACTGAGAACCCTGGAGGTGGACTGAGTTTGAATCCAACTTCACCACTTATAGGCTGTGCATCTTTGGGCAAGTTACCCACCTCTCTGTGCCTCAGGAAAGTGGAGGTGATGATAACACCTGTTTCAGGGTGATTGTGAGGGCTGGACCAGGTTGATGTATATGAGGCCCCTTAGTGGGCTCTACAGAAACCTCCGTCAGTCTCCCTGACCTACGTAGTGCAGAAGCCCTGGTGCCTCAGCTATCTCCATGGGCAGGTCCAGCGATCCTGGCCAGGTCCCATGTGGACACAATGACAGGGTTGTCTGCCCACCTCTCCATGTACACAGATGGGGAAACTGAGGCACGGGGGGCTACTTGGGCTGTTCCAGGTTGCGGAGCTGTGGACCCCAGCTAGCGCTCCATGCCCACCCACCATACTCCGCCATCCCTGCCCAGCCAACCCTTCCGTGGCTGGAAGCAGCTGGACTTTCTGGGTGACAGTGATAAATCCCCTGAATCAGAGAGGCCATGGCCTCATGGGGAGCCTGGCGTGTGGGGTGCAGGGCCCACGAAGCCTCCGCCTTGTTCAGAGCCGTGGGGAGGCGCGGTGGGCCAGGGCCTCCATCTACAGCCCTGGGGCCACAGGGGCTAAGCCCGCTCAGGGGAGGACCCCGGGTCACGGGACCACAGGGCGGGGAGGGCTCTGGGGGAGGGCGCCAGGATTCCCACAGGCAGGGCGCTCCCCGGCAGGCTCCTCTCGGGAGACCAGCGGGGCCGGCTCCACCTACCTGGAGGCACCCCGGAGGAGATGGTGGAGGCGGACACCTGGCCCTGGCCCTTGGAGGTCATGGCAGCCACCTCGATGGTGTAGGTGGTGAGCGCGGTGAGGCCCGTGACGCGGTACTCCAGGGTCACGTTGGGCAGGTAGTGGGTCACGCGGGTGTTGGTCCGGTTGTACTCCTCCCAGGAGATGCGGTACCCTGGGGGAGCCCCGCGGTGGCCTGAGCTCGGGGGACCCTCAGCCCCCCTCGCTGGGCTTCCCACTTCCCCACCCACTGGGAACAGTGGGGCCAAGGGAGGTGGAGCTGCTGGCCTTAGGCTCTTTGGGCTGCCACCTGGGTGGGCACTGCTCTGGAGCAGGCACGTCCTCACGGCAGCCCCCTGAGGCCCCAGAGACCTCTAGGGCCCCATGATCTGGGACAGAGACACCAGGATGGACTGGAGACAGAGGTGCCAAGAGCCTCCCCCGAGGGGGCCTCTTGGTCCAGGTGGGGACTAGCTCTGGGGAGGGACAGCTGGCCTCTCCTCGCCCGTCTGCCCTCTGGAGAGGGGCAGCTGGTGCCTACCTGTGAGGATGCCGTTCTTCTCCCCTGGCTCTTGCCAGCTGACCTTCAGCGAGGTGTCCAGGATGTCACTGAAGCTCAGGTGTCCCACGGGCCCCGGCACTGTTCCCCAAGAGGGCCAGTCAGAACCGGAGCGCGGCCACCGTCGAGGGACAGTCCGCAGTGCGGCGGGGGTGCTCGGGTGGGGCTGAGGGGCAGGGCTGCCGGAACCTACCGTCCTCATGGGTGCGCACGAGCTGGGGGCTGCTGCGGGGCCCGTCCCCCGGGGTGGTGAAGCACAGCACGGAGGTGAAGTACTCCGTGAACTTCTTCAGCCCCGACACGAACCCCACGTGGATGCTGTCTTGAAAGTTGGGCCGCGCCGTCACCATGGTGACCTCCTCTTCCTGCTCGGGCTCCCAGGCGATCAGCTGGGGACAGGCCAGCAAGAACGTTCGAGAAGAGGCTGGGCCAGTGGACAGCGTCCAGGAGCCCAGGTCCAGGGGTCCCTTGTCCCCAGGAAGGGATAGCCCTCAGGCTCCCGAGGCCCGTGGCCCCGTGTTCACTCTGAGGTACTGCTCCATTTCCTGAGCCTCTGAATCTGGGCAAGGTACAGGCTGGGTGCTTCCTATGAGTGTCTGTCCCCGATTTTAACAGGGACCCCACACGGGAGGCATTTTACCAGGACCAGCTCGGTAACTGGCAGGCTCAGTACAAAACTAAAACGAAGAGATCCTTGTTCAAAAGGAATCCCAAGATGTTTGGGCCAATGCGCGGTTGCAGACCTAAGAAGACGCCCTTTACTTCACAGGTGAGGAGACTGGGCTCAGGGGCTGAGCGACTTCCACTAGGACCTTTACTAGGGGGAGTTCAGGTTCCAGTTCCAACCTTTCTTCCTGGGGCTGAGGCAGCTCTTCCCTAGAAGGGTCCAAGGGTCACTTCCCATAAAACTGAGAACTTATCATTTGTGGGGTACTGGGGTTGAACTTGGGGCACTCCGCTGCTGAGCCACACCTCCAGCATTTTTGATCTTGAAACAGGATCTCACTCAGTTGCCCGGGCTGGCCTTCCACTGGACCTGCTTCTGCCTCAGCCCTGCGAGTCACTGGACTGTAGGCCTGGCCACCCGGCCCTGCCACTCGGCTGGCAACTTGGTTTGTGGGTGTCCCTCTTATGCTCCCACAGTTGCTCCCCATCAGGATTTAGTCTTACAGTCACCTGGAGGTGGGGCGTCTGCACCTGGGAACGCATGCTGCCTGCGAACCCCCCCGTCGGCTGCCTCGGCCTGGCCCCCCTGGTCCCCCTCCTGCTCTCTCACCCCACGCCCTGTTTCCTGGCCCTTCATCTGTCTCCCACAATGACAGCTGGCCTCAGAGATTCCTCGTTTATTTGAAGTTGATTAAATAGCAATTAATGGTGAAAAGCTACACTCGATGAGTTTTAATAAGCACGGGTATTTATAGATATAAAACAATACCACGCCAACGTCTCCGATTAACTCACGCCCGTAACAATGCTTAATCTTCTCCTTTTCAGGCCTGAGTGTTTACAAAGGATGTTTTGAAATTTAATTGATATTGTGAAAAGATAGCCTATAGCCAGTTAATTAGACACTAATTAGACCCTAAAAATACTAATCAGAAATACTAAGTGGCATTTAATAAGTATGTTAAATATCCTCTTTATTTCAGTTATCTTGTTTCATAGCAATTAAATTGCCGAACTTCTTTGGAGTAGATGAAGAAACAAGTTTAATGTTTTAATTTAATTTAATTAATGTAAATTTGAATTAATTACGCTGTTGGAATTAATTGTGTGGTGTGTTCCCTAGCAAGTGTAAAATTTGGGTAAATATTATTTTATTGGGCTCACGCCAATTAAAATTACTACTATTTTTTAAAAAATAAAAGAAAAAAATGTCTTTAAAAGGTGCCTTCCGACAATATCATGGGGCCTTGCCCCCCAAAATGGCCCACAGGAGGTGCGCAGGAAAGGAGAGTGTGGTTTTGAGGACTGACGATATGGACTTCATAGCTGGGCCTGGTGGCACACGCCTGTGAGCCCAGAGACTGGGGAGGCTGAGGCAGGAGGGTCTCAAGTTCAAGGCCAGCCTCAGCAACTTAGCAAGACTCTGTCTCAAAATTCAAAAAGGGCTGGGGAAGGAAAGAAGAAAAAAGAAGGGCGCTGTGAGGTGGCTCAAAGGTCCAGCCCTTGCCTAGCGAGCGCAAGGCCCTGGGCTCATTCCCCAGCAAAAGGACTTGGTGACCTACAGTTCCACATCTGAGGTCCTAGCCCACGGCAGTGGCAGTTGGTGGCAGCTTCTAACCATCTACTCTGGGGTGTGGAGTGCAGGAGACGGTGACATTCCTGAGGTCCCTGGCAGGTAGCCCCCTTACAGTGGAGAAACCCTGTATTGGAGGACAGCGTGTAGGGGACACAGAATGCGCAGCCACCAGGGGGAAGGAAGGGGACTGGCCTTGGAGGTGGGACCCCTGAACCCGAGCCCAGCTCTGTCCCTTACTGTGTGACCCTGGGAAAGCCACTCCTCCTCTCTGAGCCCTGGCAGGAGGGGGGGATAGCGTTGGCCACCCTGCTGGGCAGGGGGCCTAGAGGACAGGGAAGCCTCTTGCTCCTGGTGCAGGGAGCACCCTGGGGGGCGGGTACAGGACGTGGGTGGGGAAATCTCCCCGGCTCCTCCACTGCTCCCCGAACCCCGTGGAAGGACATGTGGGAAACCAGCGGCTATGGTCACGGAGAGAGGGGAGCTTTGGGAAGGGTGAGTGGGTCCAGGGAGATGGAGGACGAGGGCAGGAGGCGGTTTTCTGATGTAAGCTTGGTTTTTTGAATCATAGATAGATTTCCTATTTTCTTTTTGGTACTGGGGATTCAACCCAGGGATGATTAACCATCATTGAGCCACATCCCCAGCCCTTTTCAAATGTCTTATTTAAAGACAGGGTCTCCCTGAGTTGTTTAAAGCCTCACCAAGTTGCTGAGGCTGGCTTTGAACTTGTAGTCCTCCTGCCTCAGCCTCCCAAGCCGAGGGGATTATAGGCTTGCACCGCCACACCTGGCTATTTCCTAATTTTTTTTTTTTTTTTTGTGTGTGTGTGCAGTGCTGGGGATTGAACCCAGGGCTTTGTCCATTCAAGGCAAGCACTCTACCAACTGAGCTATATCCCCAGCCCTATTTCTTAATTTTTTCTTTTCTTAAATATTTATTTTTTAGTTGTAGTTGGACACAATACCTTTATTTTATTTATTTTTATGTGGTGCAGAGGATTGAACCCAGGGCCTCTCAAGTGCTGGGCGAGCACTCTACTGCTGAGCCACAACCCCAGCCCCTATTTCTTAAATTTTTCAAAACAATAAATTGAAGGGGCAATATTTGGCAAAAGTAGTCAAATGACAGACACACTTACCCTTTGACCTAACAATCTCATTTCTAGGCATCCATGTCAAAGCTATGCCATGAAAATAGAAAGAGCCGTATGCACCAAGCCAACATCGTGGGTCAAGTAGCAACGGCCCAAAGTAGGGGTCTGGTTACCTAAGGACACCATGGGGTAGGTGGGGTACCTGTGGATTCAAAGAAGGACCAGGGGAGACGGGCATCCGTATGCTGCTGTGGAGGGACCTCAGGGGCATTGTAGATGACAATCATGTTAAAACACAAGGTGGAGAGGGTGTGGAGAGCACACTGTCACTTACCAGGAAGGAGAGGGCACACAGTGATATATATGCACGCTCCCGCTTTAAACATAAGCAAAAGGAAAAACCAAACGAAACAAACCAGAACACTCCAACCTCTGGGGAGAGAGGGCTGGGGCGGAGGATGGCGCTCTCGGCATTGGCTTTGTAGATTTGATTTTAGAGCCGTGTAAATATTGTATATAATTATGGCACCAAATTAAATTAAAAAAAATCAATCCCCCAAAATCGAAAACAAAATGAATTCAATGAACCTAATAGGGTATGGAGCTGTAGCAAAATCATACCCAGGGAAACTACTTCAAAAACATGTGAAGCGCATCCCTCTCGGGACAGACCCTGAGAGCAAAAGGACTGCAGATTCTCCAGCTATTTTCAGTCTTCAACCTGTTCCTATTACTATTCTGAGACTGCTGTGTGTGCTTGTGGGGTGAAGTAGGTGGGTAATGACGCTGCTGGTGCAGGAATTGAATTTTCAGTGTGGAGAAAAGAGTTATGAGATTATTAAAAGACCAGTGAGATTATTAAAAAGCTTGTAGTCCTGAAATTGAATAGGAAGTATCAGTATGCATTTTATCCTAAAAAAAATGCATTTCCTTCTAGCTGACCATGAACAGAGTCTAGATATGATAGCCATCCTGGAACAAGTAGAACCCCAGTGCCCGGAGTGTGGCATCTAACTATCCCTTCCTTCTGAAAGGAAGCAAGGTAGCTGGGCGCGGTGGTGCACACCTGCGATCCCAGCAGGTCGGGAGGCTGAGGCAGGAGGATCGCGAGTTCCAAGCCAGCCTCAGCAAAAGTAAGGCGCTAAGCAACTCAGTGAGACCCTGTCTCTAAATAAAATACAACCTAGGGCTGGGGCTGTGGCTCAGTGGTCAGCTGCCCCTGAGTTCAATCCCAGGTACCCCGCCCCCCACCAAAAAAAAAAAGGAATTAAATTGTTGTGAAGAAAGGGCTAATCCAGGGCACAATGAAGGAAGTTTCTATAGCTTGGAACATCTTCTCATACCAGACAGCAAAGAAGCCGTCACAGACTCCTGGGGCCATGTCCAAGGACTGAGGAATGGACATGAAGGAGGGTCAATGTGGCATCTATAAGAATAATAATGGCAGTGGACGGAAGCACATCAGAGGTGTTAAAAATCCTTACGTGCATAATAATATTACAAAAAGCAAAACAAAGCCAGACCTACACCCATGTCCAGCCGTGACTCACTTGTCACCTTAGAGGCGACTAAGGAACCAATTCATTATACTGCAAATTGGTAAGCAATCAGAAAGAATGGGGCTGGCACTCGGCTTCTCAAACTAAATGAACTCAATGTTCAGTTGGCCAAAAAGTCAATAAAAGGAACATTCTTTTCTAAAAAAAAGCATTTCAGCTAATAAATCAAAAGGCAATGATAGCATTTCCCTATCCCATTTTGCAACCCCTGCTGAAATAATAGATCATGTGAGGGCCATTGACAGCCACCGACATCACAATGAGAGACAGTCAGACTTGGTCTTCGACGAAAATACACAAGGCCATCTAGGAAGCAGTATTGAAAACAACAACCACCAAAAAAGAAAGAAAGAAAGAGAAATCGAACCTGAGTCCGACCAGCCCGTGGTTGAACATTCCAATTTACTGCAAATATAGTGTTCAGAGGAACGTGTTAAACGACCCCACGGGATGCAATCAGCAAAATCCAGGCTGTGGAAAATTCCACAGGACAAATGACTCAGTTTCTTCACCCAATAAATTATAAGAAAAAAGAGAGAGAAAGAGATGAGAGAGAGAGTATATAGATCAACCGAGACCTTAAAAAAAACCCAACTGCCTGCAACCGTGGGGCCCTCATTTAGATCCTGGAGCAAATAAACCAATGGTTTTCAGAAACGAAGTGGCAGTCCCAGAACCTGCAAGGCTGGCCGGGTGTCTAAGGACGTGCAGGGGCTGTTGACATTTTTAGGCATGACGATGATGATGGGTCTTGTTCTAAGCGGAGACGTTATCTACGATCCTCATCTACAAGAGCATTTACGGAACAAAACGGCCCGGGATTTGCCTTAAAATATTCTAGGGGACGGGGGAGGGCTGGGGAGTCCCTGGGACACATGTGGCTATGAGCTGGGACCAGGGGAAGTTGGGGCTGGTAGAGGGGCATTCATTAGCGCCTCCCTCTACTTTTGTAGATGTTTAAAATTTTTCACAATTAAAAGTGGACAAGCAAAGTCCATTGTTATCACAGGTATATATACAAGAGACAGACACTCCTCTTTTTTTTTTTTTCTTTCCCTCTCTGTAACAGACACACTGAAAGCCAAAGAAGCAGGAGAAAAAAAATTCCTGCCTTTAGTCATTTGTATTGAAAAAAAAAATCAAGTGGTAATCCTTATTTTATAATAAAAACATAACACATGTTTTCTTTTTAAGGGAAGAAAAAGCACTGCTCTGGTTTGAATCTCAGCCTTAGCAATGACTCCCTTGACCCTGAACAAGTGATTTCCTTCTTGAGCCGTCGTTTCTTCCTCTGGAAAGTGGGGTGAAGACCAGGACCCTCATTCCCCGGGGCTCTTGGGAAACGGGCCCTTCTTCTTCCACCAGCTCCAGGGCTCAAGACACCAGGCAGCTCATCCCCACTGGTTTTAATTGAACAGCTACTGCGTGCAGAATGCCAAGTGAGGCCTGAGCATTGGCAGGTGTTGGGGGGGCTTCTGCAGCCTTTTCTTGCTCTGGGTCACCCTGGGCCATTGCTCTAATTGTCCAGGCCACTGATTGGCCTCCAGCCTGGGGAGCCTTACAAGTTTGTGGCTGAGCCCTCCCACATGTGCAATAGAACTTATGCTCAGGCTCGGCAGCAGGGAGCTAATTGTCCCCAGCTTGGTTCCTGGACTGACTCCTGGCAAAGCTGGCCTCCTCCTTCCCTCCCTGCCTTCCCCCTTGGGTCCCAATTGGGAGTCTTTTGCAGCCAGCTAGCACTGGAGCGTTAGGCTGTGGCACCCTGACCTCAGCTCAGCCTGGGGTCGCCTGCCTTCCTAGGGAGAAGCTGTGGCCGGGGTGGGCCAGGGGATCTAAGCAGAAATTCTCCTGGCACCTTAATCCCACTCCTGTCCTGTCTGGTCCCCACGCACACACCCTGTAGTAACATGGCTCAGCTGCTTGTCCTAGAAAGGCTCTGGG